TTTGTAGAAATATGCAGTTATAAATTAGGTGATAATAATTCGTTTAGATATAATAATCTTTTTTAATGAACTTTGAATGGTTCCTTGCGACTTGAGTCAGCATGCATTGAGTTGTTAATTGGTTAAAAATACACGATCTATATTAAACATAAAAATTGTTAAGGCTAGGGTGGCGAATATAATACACTTTAAAACCTTGTCTAAAGAGTGAAAACAAAAACTCAAGTTCTATCTTTTGTTTGAAATAATTAAAGGTTAAATTCTCTTTCCATAGCATACATATACATGCACACCTATCGATTCAAGAAGTTTGGAATAATTAATTGGGTATAATAGTTATCGATTCTCTCTTTTGAGAAGGATTTGAACAGTTTTTTTTACCACGAACCATAACTTACAGACATATGATTAATTTTTTTATTTAAATAAATAAGTTAACATGAATTAGATTGTGTCATATAAGATTTATCTAGTCAAAAGTTGAATTTTGGTGAATTTTAAATATTTTGATAGAAGCACTTCAATAGTAAAACATGCATGTTAAACAAATAATCTAAATATTAGCTTGTTTAATTTGTCTATTGACTATTACTAGCAATTCAGACTCATTTAGGCGAGTTGTAGCTTATAATCCGAACCGAAAACAAATTTTTGGAGTTAGTTCATCCTCAAGAGATCGCGACATTTTATTTCGGCCATTGTAACACATCTAATAATAATCTAGAGAGAGTATGACTCAATTCTTATCCCATACTACCCTCTCTAACAACCATATGTGTTTCTCTTTTTTAAAGTTTTTTTCTTCACTTATAATATCAATATAACACTCAAACAAATTATATATTAAAAAAAGAAGTTCTTTCTAACTCATTAAGAATACAAAATTCCTTATCAAAATGTGTCACCACTACTAACCTAATCCTAGGTTTCCCATATTACTTTGTATAATATTATATTGACTTAAAAATTAGACTTGATAATTATAATTATTAATTTTTTTGTGGGTTCCAGTATTTATTTGAATTCATTACCTATTCAATGATTGTGATTATTAAATTTATTTTTTAAGTCTAATTTTTAAGCCGATGCAGCATTAGTCTATTAATTAATGACCATCCCACTTCTAATTGGCCGGCAAAGACTGATAATAAACATATTCTTTTACCAAAAGAAAAAGGCTGATAATGACAAATAATTTTGTTTTAAGTGAAAAAAATCTAACAGCCCATGATTAATAAATTAATTATCCACCCAGGACACTTTCGTAATATAATGCCCCAATTCGCCCATTTTCAATTATCCTTTTCGAACATATCTCTTGCTCTGCTCAAAGAATCTATAGATACAAAACAAACCAATTAGTCCACAGAGAAAAGACTCCATAGATCGAGAGAGAGAGGGAGGGTAATATGGGTGTGGAGCAAGATGAACACGAAGGAGAGTTCGAGAGGTGTGAGAAGAGGCTGAAATGCTTCGGGGGTGAAGAACTTTCAGAAGATGAGAGAGGGGGTAAGCTGCCGTTACAGTCGGGTGATTTCTTCTTCTACCCGATGGTGCCGTCTTCGATTGTTGTTTCCGACGCTTTAGAACCTGATTTTCCCATTATTTACGTTAACACCGTCTTCGAAATGTTCACTGGGTATCGCGCCCACGAAGTTCTTGGCCGAAACTGGTAAAAAAATTACTTATATTTATGTTGTGAATATATAAATTTGTGTCTGTGTATCAGCTTTTTGTATATGTACATGTTTGTTGCTGCTCCACCAGTTATGAATTTCAGGTAAGCTCTGATCAGATACAATTGTAGGCAGATAAAGTTTAAATGTAACTGTACATGATTTTTCTTCCCTTTCTTAATTTTTACATCTTTTATAGTTTTTATTTCTCTGCCTTGAATGAGGGGGCGTTTGATGAGAAATATATGAAAAAAGTGTAGCTGTCGTTTGTTTTAGTATTTTTTTTGTTTTTCTGTTTTTTAAGTATTGTTTAAGTCAGCATTATTTTCCTTATCCGGGTTGGTTTAATTCAAAGAGATTAAGCTCATCCTAAATATAACAATGTAGTTGGCTTGGGTGAGCCCCAAAATCCCATCCCAATTTTCTTGAATTTTGTATTTTTCAGATTTATATTGGATCGTATCAACTTACTCGCACCTTTAGCGGATTTATGACGTATAGCATAAACTAAATGACCAGATTTTGGAAAACCCAATAAGATACCATACACTGCATTTGCTAATATAGAGGTGGTGGGGCTGCAGCTAAATGCTAATAATAGGAACTAAGCTAGATGGTTTTCAAGAACCAACGGGCTAAATTTTATCCTACCAGAGTCCATAAGTGGGTCCGTCCATCTGTTTACTAAATTTCTTTTTGTGTGACAAAATCTCCTCAATTTGATGGAAGAGTACAGCTTTAACTAAACTTGCATTTAGGATTGGGCAGGATTGAATGATGGATCTAATTTATTCATTGGGTAAACCCAACGTGATGTATCAAATAGAGGATAAGGATTCTGCATAATGGGGATTTTTGACTTATTCTATACGGGTTAATTTAGACTTTGATTGTTGGGGCAATTGGGAGTACGAAAACGTCCTGATAAAGTTACGTGATCACCTTTCTGCTCCAATTCTCATGTCCATGGGATACAAGTGGCTTTCCCCTTCTTGTTGAGGAATAGTTTTATAAGGGTTTCTTTAATAACTTTATCAGCTTTGTAAACTGGAAATAATATGGTTATAAATTCTCGAGGTTGAAAGGGATCTGTTGAATGCAAAAAGAATGCTGCTTTAGAGCAAGAATAGAAGAAATCTCATTTAAGTAACGGAATCAATAACTTGCAGGATCAAACCAATTGAAGACAAGGGGAAGGATTTTACGGGAGTTCTATCTAACGAAAGACCAACAGTGTGGGATTTGCAAAAATTAAACTGGTCACTTTGAGTATATTTTTCTAGACATTTTCCTTTGATTTAGTGGAATTTTCTGTATGTATTCCTGCAGTGATGCAATGGTTTTCTTCCTATCTTCCGTTGGTTACTTGGTTTTTTTTACTAGAGAGTTCCTCCACAATTTTTTCGTTCACAGAGTGAATCCCTGATGGTTGAGAGATGATCCCTTGGTTCCATTTTTTATTTTAATTCCATTAAAATATCAATGCTATTTTGAAAGTTTGAACAGAGTAATTTTATAAACCTGAACCACGTATCCTCTGCAAAGACTCAAAAGAACCCTGATATGTACTGTGCTTTAATTTTTGGATTTGTATACCTCCTGAAATTGATTTTTTTAATATTCCTGTGGATTATTTCTGAGTTCTCTGCATATGAAATGCAGATTTTTGTTGAGGTGCACAAGCAAATCTAGATTAGGGATATGAAATTCATATCTGTAACTATGATTCAATCCACAGTTTTGATATCACGCTCTGTACTTTTTTCTTTGAACTGTATGCTACTATATACTTTCAAAATTCTAAAAATTTAAAGGTTCTTTCTTGTCTCATTCTGGAAATCTTTTGTTTTAGCCGGTTCTTGCAATATAGAGACCCTCATGCCCAAAGAAGACATCCACTTGTTGATCCTGTTGTTGTTTCCGAGATTAGAAGGTGTCTTGAGGAAGGCATTGGATTTCAAGGTGAGCTTCTCAACTTCAGGAAGGATGGTACTCCACTGGTGAACAGGCTAAGACTTGCGCCAATTCATGGTGATGATGGCACAATTACACATGTAATTGGTATTCAAGTGTTTTCTGAAGCAAAAACAGATCTCAATAGTGTATCATATCCAGTGTTCAAAGAAAGTTGCCAGCAGCAATTTGATCAGACGGGTTACTACTCTCCAAAGAGTGGACAATTACAGCATAGCAGGCATGAAGAAATATGTGGGATTCTTCAGCTCTCCGATGAAGTACTGGCTCAGAACATTTTATCACGCTTGACACCAAGAGATGTCGCATCCATTGGATCTGTCTGCAGAAGGATCTGTCAATTGACAAAGAATGAGCATCTAAGGAAGATGGTATGCCAAAATGCATGGGGAAGAGAAGTCACAGGTGCACTGGAACTGATGACGAAGAAGAAATTAGGGTGGGGTCGTCTTGCTAGGGAACTGACCACTCTTGAGGCTGTTTGTTGGAAGAAGCTTACAGTTGGAGGTGCAGTGGAGCCTTCACGTTGCAATTTCAGTGCATGTGCTGCGGGAAATCGACTTGTATTGTTTGGAGGGGAGGGGGTTAACATGCAACCCATGGATGACACGTTTGTTCTTAATCTTGATGCTGCAAATCCAGAATGGCGTCGTGTGAGTGTCAAATCATCCCCACCAGGGCGCTGGGGTCATACTCTCTCCTGCTTGAATGGTTCCTGGTTGGTGGTATTTGGTGGCTATGGCAGGCAGGGATTGCTAAATGACGTGTTTGTTCTGGACTTAGATGCCAAACAGCCAACATGGAAAGAAGTCTCTGGTGGAACTCCCCCCCTTCCTAGATCCTGGCATAGCTCTTGCACAGTAGAAGGCTCAAAGTTGGTTGTTTCAGGTGGTTGCACAGATGCGGGAGTGCTGCTTAGGACACATATTTGTTGGATCTCACCATAGAGAAACCCATTTGGAAAGAGATTCCAACTTCATGGGCTCCTCCCTCTAGATTGGGACACTCACTCTCGGTTTATGGAAGGACAAAAATTTTGATGTTTGGTGGGCTTGCCAAGAGTGGACACTTGCGGCTACGGTCTGGTGACGCATACACCATTGATTTGGAGGATGAAAAGCCACAATGGAGGCAGTTGGAATGTGGTGCATTTACTGGTGTAGGTAGCCAGAGTGCTGTGGTTCCTCCTCCTAGACTGGATCATGTTGCTGTAAGCATGCCTTGCGGGCGGATCATCATTTTTGGTGGTTCTATTGCTGGGCTGCACTCTCCCTCTCAGCTTTTTTTGTTGGATCCTGCTGAGGAGAAACCATCATGGAGGATTCTCAATGTTCCTGGGCAACCTCCAAAATTTGCTTGGGGTCACAGCACCTGCGTGGTTGGAGGTACCAGAGTTTTGGTCCTAGGTGGGCACACTGGGGAAGAATGGATCCTTAATGAATTGCATGAGTTGTGCCTAGCTAGCAGACAGGACTCAGATCCATGATATAATCACTAGCTGCAACATTGTACTATTCTGGAAGAAGATTCTTTTCTTCAGGATTGTGCTAGTCGATGTTTCAGGTTCTATGTTGATTCTATTTGCTGATATGTTTCCACTGATGAATGATGCACGGCTTGGTTTGGTACCATAATTTGTTGTATTAAGACACCATAATATTACCTCTTTAGGACAGGCATATGATGTGTACAATGTCTGTGTATCTTCAATTTGTAGTTCATCCTTTCAATAGAGTAACATGTTTTGATTCCCTTTCTGGTGTGTAGTTCATCCTTTTAATGCATGTTCATGTACATGCATACAGTACATTTTGTTGGCTGCTGCGCTTGTTACGCTTTACATTCCTAAATTTCTTTTTGTGCTTACTGCAAGTTATCTTGATCTGTTCAGACCTACTTTGGTTTCCCTGTTAATTAGAGATTCTTTATTGTCACTTTGCCGTTGCACAACTTTTGCCAAGGGGGAAAAAAAAATCCCTAGTGCAGCTTTTTGGACCAGTGGATTGACTCCAGTTGAAGTAAACCTAGAGAGCATTGGTTAGGCATTGTAAAAACGGCTCTATGGAGACTTTGGTGAACTGATGCACTGAATGTGTTGGTCATGAACCATAGGCTTCATTTTGTTGGACGTTTTCTTGCACTTATGCTGCTAACAAACAGACTGCAATACAGAGAAGTTGTTTCCCTCTATGCTTCTATAAGTGTTATTTTCTCTATTTATTCCAGAAATTTATCTATCGTTTGACCTCCGACAAGTGTTTGGGACTACATGATGCCCCTAAAGTTTGATCTTTTGCCCTCAGGATTGGCTCTAGAAACACTAGATTGAAAGCATTTGGTCCAAGCAAGTTATTTTTTAAGTTTTATTTTCTCTGTGAAGTGATGGCTATTTCATTATATGGAGATGGAGGATGTCAAAAATTAAGATGATGTAGGAATTGTACATCACTAAAGGGATCCCCTTGTTTCATTATGGTTATACATTTCATTTTCCTATCCTATCCGATTTGGATTTTGATATCTGAAAAAGAATCGACTTCATTCGACCTTCAATTCAAAGAACTGCGCTTACCCCCCCCCCCTCCATGAAACGGCTCTGCTGCATTAGATGGTAGAGAGTCCGTAGTACCCGAAGCACTAGAGTGATCCAGTAGCTGGGAAGGGGCATAAAAGTGCCTACTATTGCATCTCACTACACTTGGCTCTAAGTATCATTCTTGAAATGTTGTTTTGATATTCCCTTTGATTATAGAATTTTAAAAACTGTTCAACTCATACTAAACTTTTTTATAATTAATCTTGTACTATCGAGTTCGTATTAACTATTTCGCGTTGATCTATTTATGGTCCACTAGCATACCATTAAAACCCGCTAAGACTAAACTTATGTGTCACGTGTTGATCAATTATATATTATATGTCGTTTTCATGTTGTGTATGTGGATCATATATAGAATTACCTATGTTAAAATCATTCCAGATGTTGCAATCACTGTTTCAGCGCAAGTTGACACCATCCATGGTTGCAGTACCATTGGCCCGCATTCCATCCAGTTCCATTGTTGGACGGTGGCTTCAATTCGAGAGATACGACGCCGACGTTGCACCAGAATACAGAAAGAAGGAAACATGCCAAAAACACGACTTCTTTTTTTTCCAAGAAAAAAAGACTTCTGTTCAAATCTGATCTTTTGGTGAATTACTCTTAACCTTTTCATGAAAATGATTTTTAAATATCAAAATGTGATTCGAAAACATAGATTGAGTCACATATTAATCCAATTTGAGCAACACTCCTTAGTGCTCAGTAGGTCAAGTCTTTGCTTAAAATTTAGTAGGTACCGTGCTTGCCCTCCAAAGGGTATTTTCACGAGTGCTCCCAAACGTAAGAGAATAGTAATCATGTAGTAACTTGAATAGAAGTCCAAGGTCGTCTCCTTGAGAAAGATTTGTAATCCAAGGTGATCGAAAATAAAAAAAAAATTCTTTGAAATTTGAGAGTTTGGAAACTAACTACTAATGAAATTCAATAATTGGGAAAGCTACATAACCTTCAGAATTATTTCCACCTATGAACAAGAATTTCTACTCTAAATCTATAACTCATCTGCTTTAGTATTCAAACTAGTACAAAAGAATGATTTTCAATTAAAAACTTTGGAAGAATTAAAAATAACAATTGAAAGATAATTTATGATGAAAGAATCAATATTCTAAAAGTTGCAGAAAATACCACTAACTATCTATCTAAAACCAATTGCATATAGGTAATCGGAAAGTATGCAAACCAATTAGGTTTTCAAAAGCATAACCTATTCAAATAATTGCATAAACATTAAAACCTTAGTTTAGAGCATAAACACTAGTCCATAGGTTGAGACTCATTTTTTTCAAATTATTCAGAGAAAGACTACTCACTCATGATAATGTAAACAATAAAAAATATTAAAGAAAACATAATTAAATTCAGAGAAGTAAAGATTGGCTTGAAAGTAAGTAAAACCTGAATGTAAAAGAATACATTTGAATTGAAATAAATGTTAGAACATTGGTCATATGAAATTGAATCGACATGAATTGAAAGACAATACTCTTAAAAACTAAAGTAGATTGCTAGAGAACTTAGGAAGAAAACTAGAGCAACAAAGAACTATTTTAAGAGAGCAAAGAAAAATTTAAGAACAATTGATCGATGATTTCCTCTTCACAAGACCCTTTATTTATTGTGTATGGAAGGTAGGTCTTCAATATCTTTGTGCGTATCTTCCCCTAAAATATCTCCTCTCTCCATTGGTAGAGAATCCTCAAAAGATTTGGTAAAATCAGACTTGAATTAGAGTTTTCCATCAAAATCTATCCCGACCTACCGGTAGAACGTTGACACCAACCGATAGAACCATATTATGCTTCACGATATTCTGGTAGAACCTTGATAACCTATCGGTAGAACCAATTCCAGAGGACTCTACTACTGGTAGAATACATATCCACCTACTGGTAGAATCAACTCCAGTGAGCCTTTCTTCCGGTAGAATACATCTTCATCTTCCAGTAGGTTTATGCATTGTTTTCTCACCTACCGGTAGAATACTACTGTCTACCGATAGTTCCTTCATTCTAGTACACTCCTACCAGTTGGTTTACTACCGGTAGAACCTACTTTTCCTCAATTTCTCCTCCAAAGCTTCTTGGACCTCTTCTAAAGCCATTATCATGATGCTCAAAGTCTACCATTACACCTAAACTACCTGAAAACATGAAATTATTGTATTAAACGCAAAAACACACTAATTAAGTCAAGTTAGTCGACTAACAAGCATAAAGTGAGAATGTTAGGCTATAAAATAATGCAAGAATGAGCACTCAACATACCTCCCTCTACTCGCTTGCCTTTGACTAGAGCGGTCTCTGAACACCTGGGGAAAAATTGGAGAAGACTAACAAGTTGGACAATGGAGACCACTCTCTAGGATGCACGAGCGACCTATAGATGGCTCAAGTGGTTCTAAGACTGCTCAATCAGTCTATGCTCTTTTCAAATGGATTGAATTATTTTCTCATTCTAGTACTAACCACCCTCCCACTGCCCTCTGACGACTTAAGCGGTCCTTTGTGATTTTATATTTCTTTGGACCCCAAGACAAACCTAATTGTGGACTTATAAATTAGGTAAACCTCTCCGAGCTAGGGTAACTCTCTAATACTCTTCAATTCTTCCTCTTAAACATTTAAAAAGCTAAGAACAACCCTAGATCCCTAAGATCCAAATGTCAAACCATCTTGATATTTCCTGTTCAACATCACACATTGAAGAAGATCATCTTGCTTGGTGTTCCACCTAAACCCACACTGTAAGATGGCTCGAGCAGTCTTTACTATTTTCGACAAGATTGAATCTTTTTCTCATTCTAGTACCAATTACCCTCCCACCACTCTCCGATGGCTCAAGTAATCCTTCACGATGTGTTATCTTGGACCCCAAGACAAAACTAATTGCAGACCTATGAGTAGGGTAAGCCTCTCCAAGCTAGGTTTGACACTTTGTGACAAAAAATGGGAGAATATTTTGGGTACAAATGGGAGAATTCGGGGAGATATTCTCTTGATTAGCTTAGGTGAGTTGCATGTGAGAGAAAGGGAAAGTTTGTTCGAATACTCAAGGGGAGTACATTTACAAACTTGACATGAAGTCACATATTTTACACTTGTTTATTTATACTTGTGAACACTGACTAAGGGGGAGAACTAGTTGTGCATACTTGCGATTATGTTATGTCTTTCATACATATTATGTTTTTCACAAGGTATTGGTTTAGTGCTGATGTGCATGACTATGATCTCTAAAGCTAGATCTAGAAGATAGTTCTTGTCGTTAGAGATTAGGGACTTATACATTGCTGTTGAGATTTTTTTACAATTCGTTTTATTTAATGGTTTATGAGTTGTAATATTAATTTCTTACTTATGTATTTTGTCTTGAAATTGTCAAAGGGAGAAATTGTTTGATCATGTTTTATAATTAGCGAATTTCGTAAAATCCTTGTAATTTTGAACCTATTTTATGGTTATGATATTACAACAATGAAGATTCGAAAACATTATTTGAAGGGAGGAGATCATGCATTAAAACTATAACCAAAGGACTCCGTATGCACCTTCTTGCTTAGGACAAGGTAATGACCTACATGCCTAAGATAATTCTTTGGTTTAATAGATTTAGGAGGATTAGTGTTAAAATGAATCGATAATTTATCCGAGTATGACTCATATGTATTGTTCAAAGAAAAGATTTTCTAAACCTTTTGTGTGTTTTTTTTAACATATATTTGAGTCATCATTAGATCTTCTTGAGAACGCCTTTTAGTGCTCAAGAAGTCAGATTTTTTGCTTGATTTTAGGCTCAAAAAATCAGAAGGGACCACCCTATGTTCGGTAGCCTTCGTTAGAGCAGTCTCTTCATGACTTAGGAAAAAATGGGGCAAATAAAAAATGGAGGAGTAGCAGATGTCGCCCTCTGAGTCGCTTGAGAAGTCGTTCGCAAATTTGTGTTTGCTTGGCCTCCAAGATTAACCCTATTCCAAGCCTATAAATAAAGGGAGTCTTTTCCAACTTAGGGTGTCTCTTTTGCGATCTAAATTCTTATCTTTTAAATCTATAAGATCATACCACAACCTTAGATCCCTAAATCCTAAGACACCATTTAGTGATTCCTACCCAACATCACACCTTAGAGAATAAGAACTTGCTTGGTTGAAGACCAAATCTACTAGCAAGTGTGCATATCGAGGATCTTAGCGAAAAAGATCACTCGAGGCCTAGAGGATCGATTGCAGTGGAGAATCCATGAACTTATCCAAGACATTAGTGGGTGTATCTGATGAAGAGGCTTATTGAAGGAAAGGAGCGTTTAACCATGGTGTTGGTTGAGGTATAAGACTCGAGTATTTGTAAGCAAACTTTAAGATATTGGATTAGGCTTTTAGTGAACTCCGAGTGGTTCCCCACAATTTTTTTCCAAATAAGATTTTCTGTGTCAACAAATCACTTGTGTTAATTATTACTTTCTTATATACACTTTTGCTTTGATGTACACAAGTGCACTATATAATTGATTGAATGTTTGATTGAATATATTTATCATCTATAGTTGCATGTCAAGAGTTGGGATTGCTGTGAGTGATTGAGTATTTGTGCATTTAATTGACAAATTAACAACATTAATCTTCATGAGCTTAAAGGGTCACGGTGTATAAAAATGGGTTCTCACTATTAATCGGTCAATCTTTGTGAGAAGAGATAATTGAAGTAGATATGAGTTTAATTTGGTGGCTGTCTAAACTTAAAGTTTAAAAATCTATTCACTCACCCTCTAGGTAGTGTCGTGCAATCCATGTGTATAATCGTGAGAGAAGATACACTCCATATCTCCCTAAGATCCAAAGGTCAAACCATCTTGATATTTCCTATTCAACATCACACATTGAAGAAGATCATCTTACTTGGTGTTCCACCTAAACCCACATTGTGAGATGGCTTGAGTGGTCTCTACTATTTTCGATTGGATTGAATCATTTTCTCATTCTAGTACCAATTGCCCTCCCACTGTTCTTCGATGGCTCAAGTAATCCTTCACGACGTGTTATCTTGGACCCCAAGACAAAACTAATTGTGGACTTATGAATAGGGTAAGCCTCTTCGGGCTAGGTTTGACACTTTGTGACGAAAAGGGGAAAATATTTTGGGTACAAATGGGGGAATTCAGGGAGATATTCTCTTGATTAGCTTAGGTGAGTTGCATGTGAGAGAGAGTAAGAGAAAGTTTGTTCTAATACTCAAGGGGAGTACATTTACAAACTTGCCATGAAGTTACCTATTTTTCACTTGTTATTTTACTTGTGAACACCAACTAAAGGGGAGAATTAGTTGTGCATACCTGTGATTATGTTATGTCTTGCATACATATTATGTTTTTCACAAGAGATTGATTTAGTAGTGATGTGCATGACTATGATCTCTAAAGCTAGATCTAGAAGATAGTTCTTAAACTTAGAGATTAGGGACTTATACACTGGTGTTGAGATTTTTTTACTATTCGTTTTGATCAATGGTATGTGAGTTATAATATTAATTTTTAACTTGTGTATTTTGTCATGAAATTGTCAAAGGAAGAAATTGTTAGATCATATG